TACACCTACACCGCGTCTCAAACTCACATGAAACAAAATTCTGAAAACTTTTTGATGTTTCTTTCAGCTGTGGAACTGAGATTAAAACCTCTTTGCTTTAGATGATTAAATCTAATGTTATACATGTAGCCCTAGATTTTTAAAGACTCAAAGACTTTATCTGCAAATAAAAGGCAGGCTGAAAGAGACCTTGAAAGTGTGAGAGGCTGCAGGCAGAAACGCTGCAGGTGGAATACATTCTCTTTTTTCACACAACAGGTATTAGAAACACATGCCCATTACGGAACTGTGTGCTTTTCATATTTGAACACCCTAGGGTAAGTCAGAATTAAAATTAGAGGCTGTTTCTTGACTAAGACAAAAATTTGGCATTTCTTCCAGATTTCAGTTCAGTGCAGGACAGCTTTTACTTCAACACAAGTATTATCTCACAACTTATACTGTACTTGGGAAACAACATGCAATAATTTCTAAACATTGCACAATTCTAAAAATAGTGCAGTATTTTACTGAAATGTTCAAATGATGCTTTTAACCAGCTGTCTTTGGAAGACCTCGTGGAATCATTCTTCAACCTACATACCATGTACCAGTCATAAAAAACAAAAAACAGGCCCCACTCTGGGGCCAGAAAGCACAATTGTCATTCAGGACTAAGTCTGGGCTCTAGGGTGGATGTTTCAACTGTTTAAGTGTTTAAGGTCACCAGTAAAGGAAGCCTGTGCAGCCCAGGCCTTAGAGACTGGCGCACTGTTGTGCAGCACCAGAAAATACATATCAGCTTTGTGTTCTGTGTGAAAGACTTTACAAAGGTGGGCCAGGAAGTCAGCATGATATTGGCCACTGCTCATGCAGTAGTTTTAGGTGACATAATTGATTAGCAGTAACCCCTTCTGAATCTCTGAATTCTCTGGCCTTTGTCTTACAAGCTGACACTGGAGTCAATCCTGGTCTCAGGTCAACCCTTATCTCATCAACAGCAACCAGATGAAATGCAGTGGGTCATGGGGAGAGATTTCTGGCAGATTACACAACATGGAAATACACAACAGAGACCTTTAGTTATTCCTGACTGATTTCCCACCGAGCCTCGGCAAAAGTAAGAAAGACAGCTTCATTAACACAACATGGAGAAAAAAACACAACTTTCTTATTCATCCACAATGTGACACAAACATGAAGTATGATTTATGAATGAACACAGGAGCATGCAGCAATGCATCTGAATATGAAAATAACGAGTCATTGTAACACGTTTGACTTTTCCTTAATGCAGAGTAACAGAAGAATACAATTTTATTAATTAAGGCTTTTCAAAGAAGCAAATACAAAAGAACTACTGTGTCCCTTCAAAACATTTTCACAGAACATAACTGTGGTCTAAAGAATGACTAGATTAAAATTACAACATGCAATATTTAATACTAAGTATACTGCAACATTAAAAACTAATTCTGATACCAAAGATTGCTCTTTTTGGTGCACAGCAATCTGGGTGGGTCTAATGAAAAATTGAGCTCATCGGGGATAAGCTCAAGGGAGCAGTGACCTTTGCAGGGACTGTATTAGCCTGATACACTAATGATTTCTGTCCTTGAGGAATTAACTAACTTCTTTTTCAGCCTTTAATGTTTCACAGGGGAGAAGAACTTTTAAACTGAAAAAAGTGGCTTACTCCAATAGTAAAGAGTATATATGTCTCCTATTTTCTGTATAAATTATTCGCAGAATGAAAATGCTTTTAGAAAAGACAGAAATAGAAACCAACAAATTATTACCATTAAACCTTAGACTTAAGCCTTGCATGTTGCATTTTAAGTGCAACCAGTGCCTACAGGTTCAGCTAATAAAAGATTATGGCATAAAAAAAACAGTACAAATACAAACTCGTCTTCCTTAGTATTTATGTCAAACAATGTTGTGTTCATCATTGCGTGTGATAACGTTGTGCATTTTATATTGCTACTTAAGAATAATACCTAAGAACTTAACTTGTGTTAAAATATCTGTCAAAACATCTTGCCTATAAAACTGTGGCAGGCCACGGTAGAAGCAACTCAGCCCTGAACTAACGGACTCTGGTAAAGACCTTGTACTCTAATCATTGCTTCCAATCAAAATCCAAACTTTCCACAGTAGAGACAAGGTCTGTTACATCTTACTTTTTATATAATAATAAACAACGGGATAGTCCACAAATAACATCCATATGCAGATGATATCAGACATCTTGGGAATAGGACTTCATTTTATGGTGAAAGTGTATGAAACTGATATACACAAACATGCAACAGAACCAATTAACCTCTTAGACAAACTCAATCCATCCAGAAGATGGATGAGTTGACAATAGACTGATTGATGTGGTAAACTATCAAGGTCTGATCTATTAAAAGAAATCTTCCAAACCAGGCTGCAAAAGGTCAAATTAAATTGAATTCTGTGAAGATGTTTACAGATGAAACCAATTTAGCTGAACTTTCTAAGGGTTAGAGTCAAAGGGAACAGAACACGTGAAAAAAAATAAATCGAGTGCAGAAAAACAGCTATTCGTGGCTCATTTTATAGTTGACATTAAACTGTATACTATTATTCACAAATACTTCAAAAAGCAGGTTTCCAACGTGCAGGGAAATTCTGACCTGAAAAGATTTAATAGAATGAACAGTGTTTCAAATGGCTGCACCAAGGTTGGTAAAACATCAAATCCAAGAAAACAGAAAAAACTAAAACATGTTCGCATGAATCCTAAGAAGGCTTTTAAAACATCTACAGGGGTAAAAGGTAATTAAAACACTACCCAGTGTTATATGGTGCATTATCAATTCCTTTTGAATAGTGAAAGTTTCTTTCTTAACAGTATAAAATTACATATACCGTATCACGTCAAAATGCCACTGCCTTTACACATTTACACCATCAATAAAAAAACCTTCTGTAAGAAAAATACATTTTAACTGATTGGAACGCAAATGTCAAAATTTCACTCTCAACATGTGACTTGGGACTGTTTTGAGAAGGAACGGTGCTGCACATCATATACGTTCTGGTGCATCCTAATTATGAGAGGGAAAGCTCTGACTATACTAAAAAAAATTAACCATAAATATGATAAGTTCTTTTTCTTCCTAAAGATCAAATGCTTGAAATTCAAATTTATTCCATACACATACACACAAATGAGCGAAAATATCAAAAAGGGAAAATAAATAAATAATACTGAGTCCCTAGACAAGGACAACAATGTGCTGCTTAATGTTACATGAGCCTTTAGGTCTGATGAAACACGGTGTGGAACTACCAGGGGACCAGGAGAACAGCACTGGTTTTCAACTTCGTGTAATTAAAGATTTTTTTTTTGCACAATTATGTTTCAGTTTGAGTACAGGTGTGATTTTAATGCCTTTCCTGTTCTAGGTGAATTGGATCTCCATGGGGTACGCACAACAGGTGTCTGAAACAGGCTCAGCTCATTTAACTTTTTATAGACACATGCATTGGCTTGCTCTGTACTTTATGGTCACCAGTGACCACAGCTCATAGGTCAAAGTTAATAACATTTAAGAACATAACCATCTGCCATGGTCCATCCTTACAACTACATTGGCAGAGAGGAATGGCAATGCCGAACCTACAGGGACACAAGACAAAGAAAACTGGCTAGCTCCATACAAAGATCCTTCTTGCAAAGATAAAAACCAGGTAGTGGTTGATGTAGGAGGTGGGAACAACTTGGGTTGGGTTGATAGATGTAATAAGGTCTGGAGTTGGTCTCTCAAAACTGAGTCTGGAAGGGAGGGCACAGGGCCAAGGTAAGAAAAGGCACAGTTCTGCAGCAGCAGCCTTAAGTACCACTGGCAATGGTCATCATGGTCTCCAGGGCATATGACATTCCACAAGAGAGCAGTGGATGTGACCCAGGAGGTGAAGAGGAGTTCCTAGGGTGCCTGTGCATGTTTATTCCATGTGCATGTGGATGCTAGCTTTGAAGGCTACAGTCATGGACGCAGGACTTGAGCCCAGAGATAACACTGTATAAGCTATGATTATTATACTGGCAAGACTGTAGATGTGTGGCTAGACTGTGGATGTAAGAATCAAGGAAAGCTGATGGGTAAATGTCAGTTCAATGAGGAACAGACATAGTTGTGAACTCCTGTCTACATGGAGTGGTCATCGTTGTGTAGCCCGGCTCGCAGTAAGGGCCACTTGGGAAAACCCTGCACTGAACCAAGCACCGCTAATTAGTTCACTTTTCCAACCAGGGGAAATCCAGGATAAAGTTTACACTTTGCACAGCAGAGCAGGGAATGATCGACACGGATGTTGAGACTGCATTCAGGTGCGCCGTAGGTGTCTTACGCAAGCAGAAGTAAGAAAACGGGATGAAGAACAAGTTCATGTGGCACGTCTGCAACAGCTGGGGTTAGAGCTGTCAGTCACCTTGCTATGAAGGAAGCCAGCAAAACCACAAGCGGACAAAAGCATTTGTGGGAAATATCAGACTTGCAGCTTGTGGTTCTGGTACAAAGGCGGTAATCAGGTTCAAGGCTGTTTGTCTAATGGGTCGTAAGTCACCTGTTGAAAACTGTTTCTATCACCTTGCAGATGCTCTGAGATACTCTGGCAGTTGCCTTCGGGGGCCGCCTCAGTTTCTGCCCTTGTATACTCATGTATACTCCCATACTTCCCGAAACTGCAGCCTCCCGCTGGTCTGATGAACAAGCAGGAGAGGTGGGCGAAGGCTGAGGCTAATTCAATGCAGGGACACAAAGGACTCGTAGAGCAAAAACACAATCATTTGTAGTCTGCAGTCGAAACCTTAGGGAGCTGTTATGGTAAGGGGGCAGGTCACGTGGTTTCTTCATAAATCTTCAAATTTACAGTCGGAACCAGAAACAGAGTACAACCATCACTTCTTGAAGATACTAAAACCCCTTAACAGCTACAAATGTGCTACAGTTAACCATTTTCACTCACACCTACATCAGGTTTCTTACCTTAAAAAGCAGCGAGTCTTCCACTCGTTCTGTGTACACAGAGGTGAGGCGATACTGATTCTCTGTGGTGATGTCAATCTGGTAGCCTGTTAGCATGTAACACACTTTTCGGAATTCCTGGATCTTCTTCTGAAAGATCTCTTTCAGGCGCTGATTTTTCAGTTCTGCACTCTCCACTTGTTTGCGCAGATCTACAAAAACAAATGAGTAATGTAAAGGCACATTTGGGAGATCCTGCATAACCACCGGATTTAATGGGACGTTCAGTTAAATTGCCAAAGCCGCAGCTTTTGTAGGGCTGGATTTTGTAATTACGGTTTGATTTCCCCTTTGTAAGCATCAGTTTAACATTTATAATTAATATCTATTTCAGTTCTGGCTGCTAGTTGAAAAAAAAGGGAACATAAATGCATTATTTCAGGACTCTGCCAAGAAACAGAGAAAAAAAATGATCATAAAAGCGAAAACAGACACCAGCCTTTTGTGAATTCGAGATTGTAACCAATACCAATGACTGCATATCATCTTACAAATGTATTGAACATTTATTAAGAACAATAAATAATGCCCCAGCTCACAGAAAACCTTTGCCGGATGTAGCAGCAATGAGAAACAACAGGATTGTGGAAATCATACTGAGAGGTGGAGAATAATCAGAAAACTCCTAGATACCTGTTTTCCGCCATGAACTGTTTGCTAAAGCCCTACTGCTGAGTCATATTTCCTACAGCATCTCATTGATGCAGAAACCTTTCGACAATCTTCTACCACAAGCTTGAAAATATCCAGCTCTACATTCTCACCTCTGCAGGCCTCTACACCACTGTCTCCACATGTATGCCCAGCTCTGCTGATTTTCTCCTTTCTCATCTGATACGAACCGCCCTCCTGCATGTCTTAAAGAATTCGTGTCGCACATGAAACCCACCTTCTGCTTGTTGGCCCCCATTCCCATTGTTCTACTTTGCTGGGTTTATCTGCCCTCAGGCCCATGGTGATACAAATGAATGACTCCCTGAGCTCTGGAGTGCTGCTGGTGGCGTTCAGAACTGATGCAGTTCAAAATATTTCAAAAGCCTAAAATACTTTTATTCGAACGATAATTCAAATTCAATCTAACTTTCCCTGCCTTGCAAAGTAGTCATCACCAGTTAACTAGCCGGTATGGCTTTGGACTGTGGGAGGAAACTGGAGCAAACCGGAGGGAAACCCATGTGAACACGGGGAGAACATGCAGACTCCGCACAGACAGCACCCCAGGAACTGAACAGGGGGCAAGCGCTGTGAGACAGCAACGCACACCGCTGTGAACTGTGCCGCCCTCAACTCATCTGACCTTTCTTAAATACTTAACTAAATTAAGTGGGCTAATGATCGTAAACAAGGAACAGTGTTCTTATTTTGACAATTCTGTACTCTTAAGCTAACGGTGAGGAATACCAGGCTATTGTGTCGACCTAAGGAAGAAGTCAAAGCTTTCCCATGTGAATTAATGGGAATTTGATTTTTCATGACATGAAACTCGGCTTTATTAAAGGTTTGGGGGGACAAATTACCTTCACCATCCAAGGGGCAGGATTATCTGCATATCAATGGGTAAAGTGCAGCTCTGAAATACAAGATAGACGCTCAGGAGTCAGGGATCAGGATCAGCGTCATCTGTAAGGAGGGTGGGGGGCAAAGAAGACTAACACATCTCCTGGGCTAAGTGAGAAGCGAACCACCCTGCTTTGTAATTATCAGAGCCTTCACTCGGAAACAGCATCAATCAAAATGAAGAATTCCATGGTCAAATCTGATCCTGGATCGACTCTTGTAAATTTTACTTTTTAGTGTATCTATCCAAGTTTAGAATCGCTAATTGTGTGTTTTTCAAGTCTTGCCTCCCAGCACTAAACCCTGCAGGTACACACTGGGGAGACCTCCTAAGTGTAGGCAGACTCCTTCGACCCACATTTAAGCAGCTTGTCTTTGAAGGCATCACAGATAACACAGCCCCACACCAGGAGTTCGGCATTGACTGCTGGAATTAAGTCAAAAATGACCCCATGAAATCAGGGATCCTCTCAAACTGAAGTGCTCTAGCCTCAAAACCTATAACAGCATAATTATAAGTCTTACATAATGCTTCCTGGGATAGACTCTGGGCGACATTTGAAAGTGATGCAAAGTTTTCCAACAATTCTAAGATAATAACAGACATTTCCAAAAGGCACTGATGTTACTATTTTCTGTATTTATCTACTTTATTTTTGATGTTGTAATGATTTCATTCTTACTTTAAAATCTTTTTAGGAATTGTAACATACTTTGAGACAATGACTTTACAAACGAGGTAAATAAATTATAGTGTTACTGTATCGTTCCTTACAAAAGACAAATTTAAAATAACTCCAAAACAAACCATTGTTGTCTTTGATCACTGAAAGACAAAATTCAATACAAAACTCTACACAGAAGTTAATTTTGTGAGCCCAAAAAAGTACCCACAATAAAAGACACTGAGATTCTGAATTTAAGAGATAAAATCTTCTCCTACAGTTTCAACTAAATGCAGTTTTATAATGGAAGCTATTGAAACCCACGCCTACGAAATCCTTATGAAAATCCACTCAAACATAAAACATACCAAGCCATAAGTTATAGAAATCCAATTTACCTCAAAACCGTTTAAGAGTGCTAATCAGAAGAGTGAAAGACGAAGCTTTCTCATGTTTAATTTATCATCACAATCTAATTTCCTGGAGGGTTGAGGATAACACCACTATATTTCTGCTTTTCCCAACTGATTTGCTTGCCTATTCTTCCATTTGCTTCTGAAATTTACTTCCAAAGGTTTCTTACTGATTTAAACGTACAAACAATATAATCTGGTGCTTTTATTTTCTCTTTTCAAAACCTCTTGTCCAATTATGAAAGTGGAACACAAATACCCCAAACCTAATAAAATCAGTTTGATGGATAATCTGAAATCCAGCTGAACTCCCATGAAACCAATGATGACACAAGACATACAGTATACAGTGATGATGAAGAAGAAAGTACACCCACCTATGATTCTATGGTTTTACAGATATATCTGACCTTTCCCTAGTCCTCACCAAGTCCTACCAGTATTGAGAAGCCAAGTGTGTTAAAATGTACAGTAAGTGCACCTCGTGATTCAGTTACACGTGGAACCCCCCATAGCAGCAATAACTGGAAATAATAGCTTCCTGTAAGTGTAGTGTTAAATGAGAACTAACTTTCCTGAATGCAGGATGATTGTTTTAATAAACAATGCCAAAGTAAAATTTGCGTGTTATCTGCAGATAGATTCATAAGGGGGTGCACTTTCTTTTTCACATCACACATCACTTTCTGTCAAGGCACACAACTCACGTTTATTTTTTCCATTCCTTTAGGTGGGGCAAAAAAAAAGCCATCCTGGGTTTTTATTTAAAAATTCAATCGAACAGTTTTGCCTAACAAGCATTCAGAATTTCCAGTTGCTGTACCTTTGATTGTGAAAAGATAGTTGGGATTTTAAATGTGTTTTAATCACTGTGAATACTGAATAATTAACATAGCATTATACACATCAGCAAACCTACAAGATGGAATTAATACATTAATATAGCTTAATATGTTAACATAAAGTCCCGCTTAAACAAGGACCTGGTAGGGGGCCTTGGTTCAGCAGAAAACGCATGACGTGCTATGGATAGTGAACAGAATCTGCATCATGCAGCTACTGTATATGTTTAAATAAAAAGGTGGGATGAATGTAGAAATACCAAAATAGAGCTTAGATACACTGTTCAGTTTAGACAGATGAGCCTCTGCTTTTACTGTTTAATACCAGATGGCAGAATTAAACAAATTCAAGGAGAAAGGAACGAGAAATTAGTTTAATTTGTCAGAAATCAATTTAGAATAATTACTCTCATTTAACGACTTCATTGGAAAAAAAAAACTCATGAATGCTATTAAATTGTAGAGAAGATGAAAAATTATTCAGAAAATAATTTCCTACAAATTCTAAACTGATTTGAAAAACACAGCACACCGGAGGTACATAAAAATAACAGATGAATGTAATCACTATACTAAAAAAAATGTTATGGAATATTTCACATCTGAAATCACATGTAGCAGGCGTCCGGGTTTTCCTGGGACTGTCCTGGAGGTCTCCCATGGCTCCATCAAAGGAAGAGCTACCCTGAGCATCCTCAGGGCCTCCAACAGGGGCGAGACCCATAAAGTAAACTGTGGACTGGCCACTAGTCCAAACTAGCCAAGGAGAAGCCAAACCCCCAGATGAAGAACGTCACAGCATCACTTTCCAACAGCCTCCCAGAAGAGACTACATATATTCTTTCCTCACTGTACTTTTACACCTCTTTCCTAACCTTTTATAGCCTAGACCACAACTACTTTAATAAATCTGTTTCGCGCCACAACAAACGCCTCTCCTCACATCACCTTTCCTCCCATGAATATGCATGAGTTCGCGCTTAAGTGTAGACACCAACGAGGGATTTATTCCATTCCATGAGGCCAAATAAAAAGTCTTGCCAAGCCGACATACAGGAAGTTAAACCCCTATCTAACAATTTAAGATAATTGAAAACCAGAGGCAGCGGACTTTGAAACCAAAAGCTATTGTTTTTATTTTCATTATCTCACACGAGCCACAGCAGAATCCCTAGTTTCATTAACCATTACAGAGACGATCAACATTTTTGTTACACAAGAACCAAGTCCCATGATTGTATCCATATTCTGAATTTCTGCTGATGCAGGTCTGTTTTATACTCACTGAAATCAAGAGTTATTGCTAATTATTCTATATTTGTATGAAGGTAGAATCAGATCCATCTGTCATTCATCTTAAAAAGTAGTCACAATTGTGGAAGTACTGTAGAACTTGTGTATACTGTGCAACAGCATACAAAGGCTTACTTTAAAGGTGATTGCTGGATATGTCTTTGCCTTTCCATTTACACTGGAGAAAGAGGAAGAGTGTTCTCTGACTGTTTCAGGAAACATGTAACAGCAGAGAGGATCAAAGACTTTCCCCAAGCCAATACTTCTCCATTTTACCCCTACAGGCGATGATTAAACTGACCTTTCTGTCTGTGTACTTTCACGGTGATTCGAAGACTCCTACTCCAGAAAAACAGCAGACGCCAACCATGTCCTTAAACCA